GCTCTGGAGGCCGGGATTTGGCTTTGCTCTGGTTGCGGCGAGACGTTCGTGTCGGAGGACTCTGAACTTTGCTGATAGCTGATTCTGAGAGAAAAACATTAGGGGGCTTAGAAGACGTCTGGGAGCCATAAACAACAAATCCTTTGACACAAAATATTCAAGGTTGATAATTAAACAACTTGAAATCACATTAGGTCTACAGCAGCAAGTCTTTCACATACAGTTTTCACACTTTAAGGCCTGGTTGTACGACTAGAAGTCAGAAAAGATTATGAAATAAAGACAGAGGTTAAAATAAGTGATGCTGAAGCTTACTGTAAAGAGGCTGCAGAAGGTCAGGAGGGCAGCGCTTGATGAATAACTCCAGCGTACAAAGCAGCAACTGGAATGATATGACCAGGTCATCCTCCATCTGCAAGGCCCTTCCTGCAAACAGCAGAGATGCAACACATGAGACGCATCATCAGAACACTGCCGCTGCAGACTAGAAACAACAGAACTGTAACCATGAGGAGGAACATTTTCCAATTCATTTGAGCTCTACAGCTCAGCACAAAAGAGGAAGGAAAGAAGATGAAGCAACGTGAAAACTATTCCATCAAGTGTGTTAACAGCTTGATCCTACTTGTTTTTGTTATTATTAATTAACCTACCTTTGGCCAAAAGAAACATTGTCCAGCAGCTACGCATGGCCTCCCTCTCCCTTGGAAAAGAGACATTAAGTAATTAATTATGCATCTGTATTACATCTTTTCGGCAAGCACTCAATCATCAAACACAAGTCCATAAGATACTGAAAAGTAACATGACAAGCAAATTTCACTCATGTGGCAGAGATGTCTCCAACTTACCGGTCATCAGAAACCAAAGTAAAGATTTTCTTGCATGTTCTGAAACAAAAAAAAGAAAAAAATATTATGAATTACAATTTTGCCCACAACAGTTCGACATGAATCAAGCTCCTGTACTGTGATTATGTGTTCACTTACTTCTCAAACCGCTGGTAGAGCGCCAGCGTCACATCATACTTCTTCTCCATTCGTGCCAGTGCTGAATTCACCTTGGTGCTTACAGTATCCAGGTTCACATCCAACTTCCTCACCAGTGCCACAAACTGCTTCACACTACAAACAAACAGATTAATTTGTGTGAGAGATTAAAAAAGCATAAAACTGCACATGACATTAAGGATAAAACTGTAAAACCAAACCAAGATTTACTGTGAATCTGAGAAAAATGTTTCAAACTCAACTGGAATTTGGACCACGGTGGGAAGAGCAGCCGTGTGTTATCCTTTTCCAGAATGTGTATTAAAATAAATAATATTATATGCATTAATGTGTGAGAGAAACATGCATCATGAGTCATGAGTACTTACTTCAGACTGACTGCATTCTGAAGCTGAGTTAAGGTGAAACAGGGGACATCAATGTCTGTCGCTGACACAAACAGACAAGCCCCCCACACCCTTTTCTGACTGTCCTGAAATGAGAAAAAAACAATGTTTATAACTTATTCATTTAACATGCAATATTATTTTAATCACTAATATCCTTGTGGGGAATGTTAAAATATGCAGGAGGTCTGAAACATAAATCAGACAGATCTGTAAAAAGCATATCATCCTGCAGCACGTTATATTTATATTTCATCAAAACCTTTCTGTCCTTCTTTGTTATAGACTGTTTGAATTTCCATTGACAGAATGTTAGAAAGAAAACCAACATTTGGACTAATTAATTGCAAAGATAATAACGCAAGATTTGTGACAGTGTATATGACACATGTGAGTGCTTATTATGTGCAGCACATCCTCATCTGCTCATGTTTTACCAGGGCTGGAAAGTTAAATATTTGAAAGAAATGTAATTGAGTAGCTTTTTCATCTACTTGACCTTTTTGAGTAGTTCTGAAAAAAGTCTATTTCTGATACTGTATTTAGCCACTGTCTGCGAGGTGAAGACAATACAGTAGTCTACAGTTTTTATGCCACAAATAACATGGACAATGCGTTTGTATTTCATTTAATATTTTCCCTTGTAAATCAAATCTGAGAAAGCTTTTTGAAAAGCATCACAATAACAAAGAGGGTTTGATCGTGAAGGCATGTTCATTTTGATGGTTACAGTCATGATGCAATTATTCTGACAGAACACTATACCCAGTACGTGAGTTGTTTCCAAAGGGATGCTTTTATTCTCCTCTTGGGTAGTTTTCAACCAAATAACAATGTTTCCACCCGTGCCTTTTCATTTGCTTCAACGGGGCAACCAACAGAATCACAACATTACAAATGTGCTGTCACATAAATACATACAGCGATTTCATCCATGGACTCTTGAACAGTCTTCCACAACGTCCAGGCACGGTCACACACCAGGTCTGTCACATGAAGGCTCTTACACAGGGTCACAAACTCAGCATCCTTGTCTCTGTGTCTGGAAGGATGGAGACCATACATCATCATCATGGAGAACACAAACAGTTCCAGGACATCAAAATATACTGCACAGACAGATGACGACAACCACCAAGTGCAGTGGTTGACTGTTAGCCAAAGTCTGTCAAAATCAGAATCAAAATCAAAAGCAGCTTTACTGACCAAATGTGTGACATATAGATTTGACTCCAGTTTATGTTCTATAAATGCACTTGCACAGAAAAAGACACATCGCTAAAAACAAGGACTGAACAAGCTGAATAAGGTAAACAAACATTTAACTACTGTGTACAGATATAACTATACATACATCAAAAGGTATCAATGTATATAACAAACAACACATTAAAATTTGTAGAGAGCAGGACAATAGTGCAATGTTGTAGAGTGTAAAGGGTGCTGGAATTAATATGCAGTTATTATTGTAACAGATTGCTTTGTATGCATGAGGGAGTCTGATCTGGCAGTATATACAGTGTACTTATATTCATATTGACAGCGACCATATTGCATGCTAATAACTATGTATAAAGTGTATACAGTTTACAGGTACACTGAGGTACAGTGGATGTTACATGGTTGTTGACACTTTAACAGTGTCAGACTCCGAGGTGTGTGTAGTAACAGGGTTATATCTCAACATTTACAGTCTGTGTGTGGGGATGAGAGACGTTAAACTCTGGTATTAGCTCCAAATACAGGCCTGCCTTAGTTTGAAGAAGCTAGCTAATAACATAACAGTTAAGCTAGCTAGCTTAAACACACCGGCAAAAACTAGCTTAACATTAGCCTAAGTTACACTGTAAACTATCTTTACATAGTATTAACTAATTTTCTGACTGTTGGTATAGTTTGCTTCAGCCGAGACCTAAATGAGGCAAAAATAACTTCTCTTACTTTTTAAGAGATAACTCTGGACTCTCCTTCTTGTCTGCAGAGACACTCTCAGCACTCTTCACGTCTTTGCTCTGTGTCGTCGCAGAGTTTCGCTTTTTAGGTGGCATCTTGGTGTGCGGCTAGCTAACAGGCAAATATTACGATTAAAACTACAACTGTGCTCTGAAGGCAACAAATTAGGTTAAAAATATTTAAAGCCCACTGCACGAGTTCCGTGGCAACAATACAACACAACCTCACCGACTTCCTGAAACCGTGGTGAGGTAGGCGTTCGTTTTGTGGCACCGGAGTGCGCGGCGGAGTGCCGGTGCCGCCGGTGTCTCAAGGTTTAGCCGCCCTCCAGAGACAGTCAGCACAACCCCGTGTGCACTAACAGGCTCACTGAGTTTCTGTTGTCGTTTATCTCTGTTTAAACCCAGCACTGTATATCATAGCACTAAATAACTGGGTGAAAGCTTTATATTTATCTCGTGCTGTCTGTGATGGTATACTGGGCGCGGTGTGCTTTCACCAGGATCACGTGACACACCGCAAACAAACTAACCCAAACGCATGAGACGAAAACGCGGGAAAATGTCTACGCAACATCCGCTCATTGGTATTTATCCCGCCATCCACAGCATTCACAAAGGGCTAGGTTTACTCACAGGTCATACTGTAGAGAGAAAGCAGGCGACTCGTCCTTTCTGCTACAGTGTAATTATATCGTTATTACGATGATGAAATGTGCACATGTTTATGCTGTTCTATTACCGTGAGTATTTTTGTTTTCATTTCTTTTGACGTGGTTTAAAATGAGCTATTTTTACGCACTGATTTCTTTACTTTCTTGACTCCCCACTGGAGCATCCATTTAAGCACTGTCACATGCTTTAATCAATAATCTTTTTTCAATGGTTTTCATTCATATAACAGAGACAGCTAATGTGAAGTTTACTAAGAGATCATGGATTAAATGTGCCTCCCCTAATCTTTGCGCAACCATCGCCCTCTTGTGGTAATACTCACATATTGTGATTTCAAACAACTGCAAGACTTGAGCACACTTTGGTTCTTGGAAAACATCCTCTTTGTTGCCCCCAGTAAATCCCATTTTAAATGCCCTTTCTTTTCCCCTGTCTGTACGTGTCTGACTTCACTGAACACACTCACCATAGTAAACTCTTAAAGTCAGTTAAATAAAACTGATCTTGGCTTTATACACTTATCACATCCAAGGAGTTTACAGGTGTCAGACACTGAATATTAATGCTTTTTAAGAACTTTTCAAGAACTTTTTAATCATAAGACTTTTTGGAGAAATCCTCTTTCTCTTATTCAAGCATATATTTTTAATTTAATATACTTTATTAATCCCCTGAGGGGAAATTCAATTTTTTTCACTCTTTTGTCATTAACACACAGGTCCGAAAGACACACACATGCACAAACAGGGCCTGTCAGAGTGACCAACCGTGCCTTGGTCTTGCTCAAGGGCGCCTCGGCAGTGCCCAGGCACCTCTCCAGCTACCAGTCCACGCTCCGTATTTGGTCCGGCCAGGGACTTGAACAGGCAATCCTCCGGTTCCCAACTCAAGTTCCTATGGACTATCCGCCCCCAGATACAAGTGGTGTCATACTGTAATTTACTGTAACTTACAAGCACCTGACAGGTGTAAAGCAATGGTTCCACTGGGGCTCGAACCCACGACCTTCTGCGCGTAAAGCAGACTTGATTCCACTACACTATGGAACTACATATAGGCCCAAAGGTCAGTGTATGTTTGGTCCCGTACAGGGTAGAAAGGTAGAAATATGGCTATTAAAATGAGTTAGGTTATCTGCATTTTGCCAACAGGTACATGAAAGTAAAAAGACAGGTTCAGTGTCAGGTTATACGATTACTTTAAAATCATAAATGTGGACTTTCAAGCAGAGGATCTTAACTCATTTTGACATGAAGAAATGAAAAGATGGATACATGAAATCAGATCAAATGTTCATGAAGAACTCGTAAATTCAAATTTAAAACTAATTAATGACTTTTATGTTTTGTTTTGTTTTTTATAAAACTGAGTTTAAGAAATTTTAAGAACCTGCAGACACTCTGCCATCATCCATCCATCCATTTTCTAACCGCTTATCCTCTGGAGCCTATCCCAGCTGACACTGGGTGAGAGGCAGGGTTCACCCTGGACAGGTCGCCAGACTATTACAGGGCTGACACATAGAGACAGACAACCATTCACACTCACATTCACACCTACGGACAATTTAGAGTTATCAATTAACCTGCATGTCTTTGGACTGTGGGAGGAAGCTGGAGCACCTGGAGGAAACCCACGCTGACACAGGGAGAACATGCAAACTGCACAGAGGGGCTCCCACACCCGGGATTGAACCAGGAACCCTCTTGCTGTGAGGCGACAGTGGTAACCACTATACCACCGTGCCGCCCCACCCTGCCATCATTTTCAATAATTTCCATCAGACATCTTTAAACAAAAGGAATGAAAGATATGAAGACAATATAAATATTCAATCACTGCAGAGTTTCATGACATGACATACAATCCTAAAACAAAAAAAAGTTGGGGTTTTTTTCTGCCTTTGTTCCTAATTAAGGGTTTAAAGGAAGTGATCCTGCTTGTTAGATGGTTTGAGAGACCAAACAATGACCCTTATTATAAGCGCACTCAAATAAAAGCCTCATGTGACTGAAAGACTTTTAAAAATGCAGACACTGGAGACTGGCAGGTTCCTCTTATCTGTTATCATCTACTTATTTGGAAGCGGACACTAAAGAGAGCACACATGCCTTTGAAAACAGTTCGAGAGTAAACAGCCTGTGGAAACGGTGGGGAATTAAATCTTTAGACATTCAAGACAAAATCAAAACAAAAGCGGTTTACAAATGTTATTTATCTGGGACAGTCCATTACAGTCAGACACTTACAGAGATATACATTGATTGGACTGATGTGTCTGAGTGAGCTGAGGTCTTTTTTTAATTCTTCACATGATTATTTCCTTCATGTCCTAAGTTTGATATCATTGGGCTTATCTAGCAAAGGGTCTAGTAAAAGTATTTGTAAAGTAACTGTCCAATAACATTTCCAAATTATGGCCAATCTGCCAATAAACAACATTTAAACAACAGATTCTCTAAGCAGGCCCTCAGATCAGCGTAACATTTGCCTCCTCACAAAGTTGTTAGAAATGTAAGAAAGACAATAATCATGTCCTAAAGGGGAGGATACATTCAACCTATGAGTGCCTCTCCAGATAAGACATTTAATCATGATATACAATGACTTAAAGGAACAGTGTGTAGCATTTAGTGGCATCTAGCAGTGAGGCAGATGCAGATTGCAACCAAGTGAAACTTCTTCCATGTGTCAAGCATGACGTCTTGGCTAGAATTCCTTATGTGTTCATTGTTCAGGAGGTTTTTTTTCCAGGAGCCAAATTATCCACAGAGGTCTCTTCCTTTCCAAAACAAACAGACCCGATGATTAAAACTGGTAAAAACACTAAATAAAGCAGTTTAACATTGAAAAATATGTTTCCCTAAGGGGCTTCTCACCACAATGGCTGACACAAAAACCCAAAATGGCCCTATCTAGAGCCAGTGTTTGGTTTGTCTGTTCTGGGCCACTGTAGAAACATGGCAGTGCAACATGGCAGACTCTAGGCGAGGACCCGCTCCCTATGTTGATATTAACATCTCATTCTAAGGTAATGAAAATGTAATTATTTTGATGTGATTATACACTAAAGAAAACATACAAATTATATTAAATTCCATTTCAGCCAATGTATCCTCCTAAATCCTACACACTGGACCTTTAAGGAGGGCTTTCTGTCATAAAAAGCAGAGGGGAAATCAACAATGAAGAACTGCCAAAGCCAAGTTCCAGTGAACATAATAAACTAAAAACCTACGTGTGTGTAGATACCCACTGACACCTATCATTTTTTTCCTCTAAAGATAACAAAAGATAGTTAGTCCCACTTAAAAGCCTGTCTACAATACTAGTATAGAAACTGCATTTTCCCTCAAACTGAAATGCAAATGATCAGACATATGGACACGTAGACAGTGTTCAATAGTTCATTTGGCAAGTTCATTTTTTTTTAATGAATTTATTTACTCTAGCAGTGATTCTAGCAGTTGTTTGTTTTAAAAAGTAAAATGGATTAAAAGTATTCCTGACTCGTTTATTACTGCAGGCCAATGATTTGTGGTCACCACTCCAGGTCCATCTGTGCACGTTGAAGGTAACGGTCAAGAGTCACTGCACTTTTTTTGTCCCTCTTTTGTTGTACATGATGAATGCAATCCGGATCTTAAGCTGGTGTTGACTGCTGTCCGGGAAAATTAATTGTACTATGCTACTGTGATAATAAATAAGATCGGCAGATGTCCTGCTTGATCATCAACATCCAGATGTCCTGGTAGGGTCCCATTATGTTATCCTGGATGAAGATGATATAAACTTTACAGCTGTTAACCTTACATTCTACACAGTGTAAAAAAAAAGTTAAAAAGTACAATTCAAATATCCGTAATGATATAAATAAAGCAATAATCCACTCTGCCCTGCAGGACACACAGTCTGTTCAGACACAGCCACCAGAGCCTAGCTGGGGCGAACGTACATAACAATAATAATAAATTCCTCTGTCTCTTGACAACACAGGTTGTTTATCACTAAGTGTTCATCCCTGCTCTCCACGCTGTCACGCCTGGCTTCCCATCTCCCATGTCATTGCTGTGAAGTCCATGTCTGTGAGCGTGACGGTGAACGGAGCCTCCACCCTCTCGGGCTCCACACGCTCCTCGACTCTCCCGGTGCTGTTCAAGTTGTTTACCCTCCAGGAATTCAGAGGTCGAATCGTTTTTTGGAAACGCTGCAAAAGAAAAGCAAGAGACAGTGAGAGGCCATTTCATCCACCAGTGTTTTCTATTTTGACAGGCACAGCAGTGACAGTCTGAACTGTACGGTGAGTGTGATCAGGGCAGAGGTGTAACCGGACCTCACAGTGACAGAATGACATAGTGGTGATACTGACGTCTTTCAGTGTTCCGGTTTCCCTGCTGATGGCCACGATGGCCCAGATGAGGATCTGCAGACAGCAGGTAGCGCCCATGCACACGCCCAACGCTTTCCCCCACAGTGGATACACATAGGAGCCGTAGCGGAGTGAAGTTCTGTACATCTCGATGAAGATGTAGGTCAGGATGAACTGGAGTGAGCAGAGGAATGTGTCATCCAAACAAAGAAGCAACAATGGCAACAGAAGAAGAGTGAATGAGGAGGCCACCAGAGAGATGCTACAAGCTGGAGGGGGGCTCAGATTGAATGTCAGGTTCTCCTCTTGAATTATTCACAACTGCTGTTGTGAAGATTTCAGCACAGTTGGCTACATTTCAAAGTGTCGATGTCATTTTAGTTTGGTAGGTGACACATTTGTAGAAGTTAGTAATTGAGTTATACTTTGTTCTCCCTCAGTTTACGATAACATTTTAACAACTTACTGGGACAGCACAGTGTCTCACCCCTCATCAGATTACCTTCTGACTCTATATGCAACATTTCTATATCAAGTAGTTTTACTGTAAATGGAAATTTTGCTTCAGGTGACAAGTGCAGCAGAGATAACAGTGGGAGTGATGTCACATGGATAGTGTAACTGATGCAAACCAACAATACTGTGAGGCTATCATATGAGATTTAGCACAGCAGTTATATAAAACCTGTCAACCTCAGTGCAGCCAGTTTTTTAGAAAAGACATCCAATGATTCAAAAAGCCAGCTGCGTTTACGGAAGTTTAATAGATAGATTCTGAAAAGCATTTGTCATATTAATTACAGATAACCAACGCTGATGTCATACTGCGTCTACTAACAACATATACTGCTATTAATACTGATGTGTTCACTCACCAGCAGAAGAAACGGAGTGCAGAAAACCCAGCATGCTTTGAAGTAAAGCAGCACTTTGGTGCACCAGGGGGGGCAGTGGCGGATCATATCAATGATGTCCTGACAAAACTGGTTGACTCCTGATAGAGTAAAGACATAAATGTTAGGAACCCTGGAACAACCCAGAAATCACAGGGACAACAGAGCATGAGATACTGTGTTTATCTTGTTACCAAAATGGTGTAAAACTGAAAAAAGAATACTGCACATAATATAGCAAATTGAGCAAAACTGACCAGCAGGAGGAGCGACAGGCTCTGGTAAGCTGTCCAGTTTGCGCTGGTTTTGTGCAGCTGGCTGTAATTAACATGCATATCCTGTCCTGGGTAGCCTGAATGCTGCTATTTGAAAATGTTCAACCTAAATTTTTGGATTGGAACTTGACCATTTCAGTTTGAGCATTCTGAATCTACTTTTATGAAACTCTGAAATGTGAAGTTTTGGGTCTGAATTTGTTTTTAAAAAAATCTAATTCAGCTTTTGAAACTGCAAATCAAGAAACTGAGGTTAATTCAAATCAAATGCATGTACAGGGTATATGCAGGAATCCTGAGGTTAATTTCAATACCTTTTTTAAGACCTTCCAAAAAAACCTTAAGACCCCATCACCACTTCAAGCTGTCGTTAGCAGCAACGCATCTTTAACTTACTAAACAGTTGTAGTTTGCAATTAAATCTACGGAGCACAAACATACAACAGAACTCAGATAAGATGAGAAGGATTTTTTATTGTCTTTTGCTCCTCTGTTTGGCGCCTGGACGTGCGCCGTCGCGTGTTGTCGCACAGATACGCGCACGGCCCCGAGTGACAGTCCGAGTGTGCCTACCTACACATCGTTGTTTGTAATAGTCGCGAGGAGGAAAATAAATTATACATTCATGGATACTTTTTGTCAAAGCTTGAATGCCAAGAAAATTTAATACTTCATAAAATCGCGATTAAGACTTTTTAATACCTTTTAAGGGCCTTAATTTTCCGACATTTGATTTATCAACTTTTAATACTTTTTAAGACCCCGCGGACACCCTGATGTAGATAAATGGTTTTCAAAGTACAGTATGTCAGTGCTATGAATTCAGTGGTGTTTAAATTTCAATATTAAGCATTTAGTTGCTGTTAACATTCAAATACTAATGTCTCTTTGCTTGCTGCTGAATATAATATATAGAAACTGAAGCATTCACAACACAGGATGTCTCTCTTCTTTTACAACTTGCTAAACATCACAGGTCCTGAATGACTCAAACTTCTATGAAGGAATGATGTGGTGTTATGAAGAGTTTGGTGTGAGGGTTAGCGGTTTGTGATGGGCTACCGTAGAAGAAGGAGATGCCAATGCACATGAAGAGGGTGATGATGATGAGGCCAAAGCTAGTGCTGAAGGAGTCAATGAGAGTGAACCAGTAAATCCCTCCCTATGAGGACACACACACACACACACACAGCATGGAGGAATGTGAGTCTGACCACAGAAAAGATGCATTTGCAGCCACATTTATCGCCAACTACAGTTCAACACACTCACATTAGTCACCAACAGGAGACCCATCAGGTAGAAGCAAAAACACAGAATGCCCAAGAACAAGGACTTTTGCAGTGAGTTCGCTCTGAGATGTGGAAACTCATCCAGCACGGCCGTGACGATGCCCTCCATGTTTCCAAACTGTGAAGCAGCAGAGTGGAAGGTATCAATCACAACGAGGCGGACTCACACATCTTTAGAACTGGTCATATCTATGTATGGTGTGTGGCCTTACCAGTGTATCGATCCCCAGCATAAAGAGCATGAGGAAGAACATAATGGACCAGAACACAGAGCCTGGCAGCAGAGCAAGGGCCTCTGGGTAAGCAACGAAGGCTAACCCAGGACCTAGGGCAAAAAAGAACACATCAACAAGTTTGTTAGCTTGTTAGCTTACAGGCTAACTGGCAGTGGGTGACCTGGCGTTAGTGGTTGTACACAAATGTACAATAACGTGCTACAGTGGGATTTTTGGTATATAGTGGAAGGAAGCTTCAGGGTCTGGTTTACATCCAAAAACTGCACACTCTATCAAGTTTGCTGTCAAAACCTTTTCCAGTTTCTTTGCCGGTGCTGTATCAAAGTCTTTTTTTCCCGCTGACACATGTTTATTAGACAGCGACTGGCTTTCTAATTGGTGACGTACTTAATGTAGCTTGCCTGGGTACATTTGAATCCTGAAGCTTTTAGGAGAGTGGACAGACATTGCCTCCTCCCGTAGAGGAGGACGTCTCAAGTGACAGACTTTGCACAGATACAAGTCAGTATAGTAAGGTCAAAGTTTTGAGTGGAGGGGATACAAAATGGCTACCTCACTGCTCTGTAATAGAAGCTGCTTTACACAAAGAAACAGAGCCTAAGTTACATTGAAAAAATGAGCACAGTAACTACCTGTATCTGCCACCTCTCCGACAGGCACCCCCTTCTTCCACGCCATGTGACCCAGGATTGAGAATATAGCAAATCCAGCAAAGAAGCTGGTGCTGCAGTTTCCTGTGGTGATAATCAAAGTGTCCCTGAAATAAACAGAACCACGATTAAGAGGACTGAACAAACATCATGGCCGCAACAACAAAGCCAACATCACAGCTCAGCACAAACTCACCTGATGACATTGTTGTCAAACTTATTGTAAGAGGCCATAGAGAGCAGCCCTCCAACTCCAATACCTAAGGAGTAGAAGATCTGTGAGGCTGCATCATTCCACACCTGCAATTTATCAGACAGAAATATGCCTTAAACAATGAAAATATAAAGCAGCAACAAGTCACCATAGTGCTCACAGATTCCTCAGTGTGCCATCTGAAATACCTGAGCATTAGATAATCGGCTCCAGTCTGGTGTGAGGTAGAAAGCAATGCCCTGAAGAGAGCCTTCCAGTGTGGCACCTCTTATGATTAAAACAATCAGCACAAAATATGGGAAGGTAGCTGTTACATAAACCACCTGAAAGCACAGACAGCACAGACACATTAGACATGATATGTCAGTAAAGGGCAGGATTGTGTGTGTGTGTGTGTTTTGTGGGAGCTGACAATAACAACATTGTGTTGATATTCACCTTGCCAGAGCTGCGGATGCCCTTGAGCATACAAAGGAAGATGATGATCCAGGCAGCCAGGAGGCACAGAGCCAAGGGCCACCGGACAGGGCCTGGGTCGTGGAGGCCCTCACTGTATACTACACCCAGCACACGCTCACTGCACGACACAAGGAAAACATAAGCATATAAAACAGCACACCTCTTACCACACCTATGACTAGACTTATTACACATTAACTGAAGCACAATACACAAGGTATGGTCGCTGGGCTGGGTTTATTAATGACCAGGAAGGCATCTGTCTGAAGAAAAAACAGCACTCATACAGTTGAGTATGAAGTACTGTGCTTGTATTTCAGTTTATAGGCAAAAAAGGCTGTGGTTTCTGCTCTCTTTGTGCTGCTACACTTCTCAACTCAATTAAATGAATTCTATTCCTCACCAGCAGAGTAATAAAAATTTAATACAGCAGAGCACACGTCAGTGAGGATGGGAAGATTCATCGAACTGTTATTTAGAAATCAGGTATACTTTATTGATCCCCAGCGGAAACTGGCAGAAAATAATGGTTTGATGATAGAGTACAGCCATCTCGGTGTGGGTGTGAGGTTACTGAGGCGTTTAACAACAGTTGCTGTGTTCACTCGTGCTAACGGGGCAGACGTTGAACTGGCCACTAGCCCAGGGCAGCAACATACAGTTAATTTGCAGCAGAAAATCCGATAAGCAAGGACATCAACCTAGTAGGCAGTCCTTCAATGTGGCCCAGGACACATTAGCATAAACACTGCTGAAAGAATGTGGCCACATGCAGCCCAGACCACCTCTGAATGTGGTCTGAGCAGTCAGATCTCAAGAAGCACTGAGGATGCGTTGGGTGCATTCACACCTGTACTTTGAGCTGTCCACTTGCGATCTGATCACCCATGATGCATTGTAACGACAGGTGGAAACAGGGCCTGAGGTGAGGGGGCAGAGTTCACGAGAAAAATGGCCTCTCACTGCCTCTGAGTGCCTGCCATGCTTTCTGAGAGTAGGCTCTGGTGATGGGTTTACCAAACTAGATATTACACAGTGCCTCAGTCTGAACCCTTTTAGTTTGTTTGCTGTATATCAATAAAGATGTATTTTTACGTGGAGCAGGCAGTAAGCTGTCACTGAGGCATTGTGGCTGAAGAACAACCTTCTCCTCCATGTTTGAAATACAGCAGAACCTTTCGTGCAAAACGTATTCAGAGAGCTGAGGAGTATCTGTGATGCTTAACTTGTAAAGTACCACAGTCGTAAGGCTTTACACCTGTTGTTATATAACATCATAATGTTTTAACTGGCAAACGGGAAGTCTTGTGTATTATGCAGGTGTTATACAGTATAAGGAATTGTGTTTGGTGTAGCCGCAAAGTCCTGATTCACATTAGCTGAAAAGGTGACAGATTAACCAGTTTGAAGAGTCCATTCATCGTAAAGAATGCTTGTGTTTGTTGAAGAAAAACATTTGAACAATGTTTGTGCGCAGCATACTGCCAGAGCCAGTTACAAGTCCTGGAGATTGAGTTGTACGGCAGGCTCGTCGCCAGACACTTTTCACCGGGGCACGCGCCTTGGTAAACCTGTAAAAATTCCCAGTCAAATTTCATAAATAAGCCTATTTTTTTTCATTACTGAATATCCGTATTCATTGCTGAGTGTCCGTAGGGCTACGCTATGACTGATGTGTCAAGGAAGAATAGCATGGGCACAATTTCTTCCTACTTCAACCACGTAGTAGGGCCGGAGTTGCACTTGCAGGCATTGGATGCGTCCGTACATATTCAGTGACTGGAACGGGCATGAAGCCTAGCATGCATCCGCGCAAAATTGGAGTTGGAACACAATCTGCTGTGGCCTGCGGTGTAAATTTATCAGCGGACAGTAGCCCGCACGTGTTGTCAAATAAAGCCGAAGCGTAGTATATAATACCACTACACATTGATGAGTTACTGTCATCATGGACATAAGGAAATTCTTTCTGCAGAACAGAGGAGGCAGGGACAGGGAAGCAGCAAGGAGAGATGAGAATGAGGTGGAGGGAGGTAAGATCATCTGGTTTTGTCTGTTGTGTCAATGCCAAAAACATGAGTCTCACAAATCACGACCCCAAATGAAACTATGGCTAGTTTAGGTTCACTTTAGATAGCGTTCGGAAATGCCATTTTCAAGCCTGTGGGCGGGCTCATTTAAAAAGCTGCCCAATCAGGGGAATACCTTTTCAGACCATATCAGGTACTTTAAATTTAAGATTTTGACTTTTTTTGGTAATATTCCCTCTTGTAGTGTGTGTGTCTTCTTGATTACATTTATTGTGCTACAGTAAGATTGAAAAGTTCAATAGCTGGACTGAAATATTGTTATTTGCGTATATGTTCTTTATTTTGTACCTGTTGATTTGTAACATTGTAAGACTGTGTAAATCTGTTTTTTGGTGATATTCCCTCTTGTAGAAGGCTTACTTGATTATGTTTGGTGTGCTACAGAAGGAGGAATTGAAAGGTTCAATGGCTGAAATCAAAAGTGTTTATATTTGCTTACAGATAGAGCTCTGTTAAACCTGTTGAGGTTCATGCAAATATAAATAAATGTTGTCAGACATCTAGTACAGGCTAACTTTCTGTATGTCATACATCTCACCATAGTGCTTTTGTAAGTCGTCTGTAAGTTTGAGTGGCATTTATATTTAGTAAGGCAGTATTGTAAATCTATATGTGTTGTGTGTGTGTGGAAGGGGGGGGGTCGGCTTCTGACTGGAGGCCTGTGCCCCTGCACAGCTGTATGCCTACTCACGCCCCTGTTGTACGGTAGACATTTATCAGTCTAAAGCAGTCCACAGTAATAAAACACTTTAGGCTTGATTTTGTTTAATTTTACAATTTAAAAAAGACAAACTCACTTCCAGAATATTTCTGTGGGGCTGAGGCCTCTACCGGTGGAGTTGTTGCCAGTGGTGCCGTTTCCACAGAGAGCTGCGTTGGCTATAGCATCACAGGACCAGGGCAGAGGGCTCTGGAACGAGCTGCCCAGGTAGTAAAATGTCCATGCTATGATGACGTTATAGTAGAGACACACCAGTGTGGACACACAGATCATCCCGATGCCAATACCTACATGAAGAGACACAGCCTTTAGTATCTCAGAAAAACAGGATATACATGTGTAAGGATACCATATGAGATATTGGTTGTGTCATTTCAATAAACAGGAAGTTATGAACCCCTGTTGTATTAAGTGGTAGTTGGACATGCTCAAACAAAGAAATACACATTCAATGAACATCTCAGTGTATCACCCCTTAAAGGAACAGGTCACCCCAAAATCGAAAGACTTATTTTTCCTCTCCAATGTAGCACAACTTATCAGTCTAGATTGTTTTGGTGTGAGCTGCTGAGTGTTGGAGATATCGGCCATAGAGTCGTCTGCACTGTACTCTGCATTTTTTGGCACTTTGAGCACCACAAGCTGAGTGACATCTAGTTCAATTATATTCGAGAGAAGGCAGAAACCTCCATGGACAATGTCGTCAGCACTCAGCAACTCCTACCACAACAATCTAGATTGATAAACAGCACTGCAGGTAAAAGAAAAAATGTGTATTTTTGATTTTGGGGGCAACTGTACCTTTAAATGCAGCATGCCAGACACTCACACTTAATGTTGTGCATGTATACCAGAAACTATTATTTCCTTTTACAATACTTAGAGCAACTCCATCCCTCATAATTCAGCATGCCAACCTGCTGCTGGCATTTCAAGTTTAACATCAAAACTACTCTTATGATAAACCTGCTTTTCCGGCTCTATTTTTGTGAGTTCCTGCACGTTTCCTTATGAGATGTTTATATTTAGAAACTGAGCTGCAGAGCTCTTAGGAATTTCTAAGGTTAGCCACATGACGGATGTCAGTGGGGTGACAAACTGATGACAGCCAGCCAGTTATTTCCTTGACTATAATGTTAGTCTGGACTGACTGGTGACACAGGCATTGTGATGTCATGTGAGGTCCTGCATACTCAAATCATTACACATGGTTCAAACTGGATGCTCAAGATTCCTGGAGAATTGTGATCCGATATTTCTATACAATTTAAAACTAACTAATCACATTAGGTCCCCACCCTGACATAACCATCTCTAAAGGGTTTGAAGTTTGTGTCACTGGATTACAGTGTGTGCAAGTGTGTAAACGCCGAGGTAAGCAGCATGATACATACCTTTGAGCAGAGGGCAGCATTTCCACACTGTGATGGGGCCAGCTGCTCCGTACTGGCCTAAGCTTAGCTCCATGAGGAAGAGTGGAACGCCCGTAACAAAGAGCATAATGAAGTACGGGATGAGAAACACACCTGCGAAGAATAAAAATATGGCTGTTTGAGGAAGGGTGGTGCTGGGGGAGACATCCACTGCAATCATTTTGCGCAGCTGCATAAAGATGGCCTGTAGAGGCAGGTTTCACTCATACGATCTCTGTCTAGGTGGCAGCTTCACAGACTGATGTTATTCTATTTTACTGTCAGTCAAGCTCCAACATGTCTGATTCCAGATGGATATGCATGCTGTATTAAGCTGGGTTAGACATAGTGTCTGGTGTGCAATCAAGGAAAACTCATAGGATTAGTAAATGTCTTGTGTTGTGGCTCCCTGTACCAAAGGCTGCCATGGAGAGCTCTGGACTAAGTGTGGAGAATAAGCCAGCGTGATTAGGACAGTGCACACCCCAGGGCAGGGCAAAGAGGGCCTCTTGCCCAGATAGGCGCAACAAATTATTACAGACATATGGTACACCCAGGCATTTGAAGCATTCCAGACTTCAGAAGGCAGTGAAAATGCTTGTAGAGTGCTCACCTCCTCCATTGCGATAACAAAGGTACGGGAACCGCCACACGTTCCCCAGTCCCACACAGTATCCGATACAGGAGAGCAGGAACTCATACTTCCCTCCCCACTGCTCCCTCTGGATTACCGGAGTTGGAGAGGGTGCACGACTCGAGGCTTGGGAGTCTAAGTGTGGTTGTGGTGCAGGCGTAGTTGAGTTGTGGCCATTCTGAGTAACGGCATGCCCGTTCAAGTGTACTGAATTCTAGAGGAAATAAAATAACATTTCAAAGAGTCAGAGAGGAGATATACAGTGCTACAGATATCAGTGAAAATCTGGTAGTCAAATTCAATCAAGGTAGTTAAATTGTTTATCTGTGGATTGTATAGAATAGTGCAAAATGATTAGTGGGTTATTCAATTTGTCAAGTGACAGGCTTTGTGTAAAGTTTACAGTGTCTGTCTATCATGACGTGTTCAAACCACATACTGGACTATTTCTTCCTCTTCCTTCCTGCAGGCCACCCACCTCTAAACAAGAAGGGAACTATTTTCTCACGTCAGGTCGCAGGGAGGAAGTCACACTTTGATAACAGCGGGGCTTCTGCTTTGTGTGCTGTTGCTGTCATTGTTACGTGTTTAAAGATGAATATTAATTCATCAATTATTCCAATGAAACACAAATACAATAACCATAAACCCAATAAAATGATGCCCAAGTTGTGAGTCGTCCAAAATGTAATTTCTTTCTGAGATTTCTTGTTTCTCCAAGTTTTACATATGTTAATATATGACACACAGAGACATAAAATGCGGAAGAGTATTAGGGACAGGCACAAGGGGAAATAAATGAAAGGAGGAAGGTTTGTTTGTTTGCACTACAAGAATAAAGTTAAAATGTTGAGAAGAAAGTAAACTTTTTAGAATAAAATTGAACTATCAGTAGTAGTGGCAGGCATAGGACAAAATATGCATTCCAAGAATAAAGTTGAAATGTTGAGAGTGAAATTGACATTTTAATATTAAATTCAAACTTTTGAGAATTAAGTAAAGTACTAGCGTCAGCTCTCATGGCTGCCTCTACAAAATGACTTGTCTGATGAATTTGTGAAACTGTGCATCTGAAACACTTTTCATAACGAGGACATTATTTCTCTTTTAGACCATAAACACAGTGTAGTAATGAGTATCAGGACTTTGAGAAGACTGTGCTGAAAATTGTATCTGTTCAGAGGGAGAAACCACACAAACCTGAAAGAGGTGGCTGCATTCTTGCAAACTGAAAGCTGAAAGTGGGTAATGGACAAATGCAAGGGTATCCATGGTTACACCTTCGTGCCATACAGAGTGGGTATGATGTATCAGAAGACATGATTTGATGAACCAGAACTGAAAATTCAGCTTTATCCTTAACATTTTGACTTATTCTTGACATTTCAACTTTATTCTCAAAGTGCAAAAAAATGTAAAAATTTGTTCTCAGCATTTTCAACTTTATTTATGAAATATTAAATTAAAAAAAAAAATCTCCTGTTATTTTTTACCTTATGCCTGCGGCCCTATACTTTTCCATAATTGAGACATCAAAGTATGACCCTGGGACTTAAGGTACTGCACAATGCAATGAGGTGACAGGATGACAGAGGAATGTGCTAAACAAATTGCAGTTCTTCAGGTAAACCAAGGTGACTGCATAGGATTTAATGTACAGCATCAAAGACTGTGCTTAGAGAGCAAAAAAACAATATTAATCATCATCAGCGGGCAAGAGGTCATTTGTACATTAACAATACAAGATTTATACTAATTTATACTTATTTTAATATCAAAGTATAATAACTATTTTCAATATTTTCTTTTTTTTTTTTGATTAATCAATTTAATCATTAAAATTTATATATAACTTTGTTTAAATCGGAAAAGAGCTTAACTGAGATAAAAAAAAATTGGGCAGATGTCCCGACCCAGATGGCAGCACCACCATAGAATGTAAAACATAGAGCATCCAAAACATATAATATTTATTTACTTATTTAACACAACTGAGAAGGTGGAACTAAGTATTTTTTGGTATGTATGCTTGAAAAGGTACTGCAACAACTAGAGTTGTACCGATACCAGTATCAAAAATGCCTCCGATGCTGCCTAAAATGCGGTATCGGGTATCAGCGAGTACAGCCTATGACCAATCCGATACCACTTAATGCCTCATGTCATTACGCATACGCACACTACAGGCAAACGAAACGGAAACGGAGCAGAGTTTAAAAAGCATTCTACTGTAGCCTTTAAAATGTCTTTTTACCAAATTGTGTGGCTGCACTTTAACCTGTGTCTTGATCTGTGTCAACACTGAATAATAATAACAATAATAAAAAAGTTTTATGGCATTGATTCTACTATTATGTATTTATTTCTTAATATTTTACACAGAGTTTTAGGAGTTGAGACATACAACAGTTCATATCCCATCCATTTTTATTTTACGCGCTGGTATCGGATCGGTACTCGGTATCGGCAGATACCTAAGGTTCAGGGATCGGAATCGGTATCAGGAAGGAAAAAGTGGTATTGGTACATCTCTAGCAACAATTAATCGATTATATTACAAGCCTTTAAGTGTTGACACTGCTTTACTGTGTATCAACCAGCTGATTAATCAGCTGATCGTTGCTGCTCTAGTCGAATAAGTGATTCCATTTACAGAGGACTTTTTGCTGAAAAAGGGACCACTGTACATTACATAACTCGGGCTGAATGTGAATATGAGAGCTCTGGGTGTTGTGTAAAAAAGCAAATACTGCTATTGAAGTCTGGTCAGCATTATTTAAACAGCCCAAAGCTGCAACTCAGGGGACGACTCAGTTTAATGCCAACGCCTTGATAATGTTACACAGCTGAACAGGTGAGGTGCAAAAACGTTGTGAAAAGTGTGGACAAACACATGTGTTGGAGCTCAGGCTTTATCTCGTCTGTCCACAGTGTGACTGTTGGGCTGAAGCCCGGGAGGTGAGCGCGATGTGGACGGACAGGTTGGACTGCTTCATCTGGAGAAATGTTATCTGTCCTGCCACGACACCAGGGAGTCCCGTAAGGTGACATGAAGTCGTCCCACACTGCTTTCAGAGTCTAACGCGAGTCTTAAACGCTAACATGGTGATATGTGAGTGAGGACCTGGCGGTGAAGAGCCTGAACAACAAAGCTCCGCTCCTACCTGCGCTGTGGGTGCACTTGCTACAGCGGGGCTCCCGAGTGCTGCTTTGCCGCTGTCGTCCTGCATTTCCCCCGCTGCGGCGCACAGGTGCTGCTTCACTGTGTTATCTGTCGCTCGTTAATCCACATTTTACACGGGAATGTCCTCCTGGAGGTACGCCATGTTGCTGTCTTTTGAGTGGCAGTTGAAGAGGTACAGTCGGTCGGTGTTGACACGGCAGGGAGACATCAGCGATGACGACGAGGAAACAAGCCGGTGGGCGGTGAGGTGAAGGGCAGGGAGGCAGGGCGCATCAGACACCTCCTCCTCCTCCTCCTCCTCCTCACCTGCTTTGTTTTGTTTGAGGCGAGGGCAGGGTTGATAACAATGTGTTTTGGGAGGGGACAGTGAGTCATGGAGAGCTACCTGCGGTGGACTATTACCTGATCTATTAAAAAGCTCAGCCAAGAGAATGTGGCCAAATCATTTTATTGTGAAGTGAATGTCAAGTGAAATGTTTTGTCCACACCACCAACAGAAACAACAGCACTGACATTATATAATTACACTGGGGTATGACAGTTCACTCTTGACATTTGAACTAACAAATTAATAAAGTTTAAGTAAACACTATTTCTTTTAAAGCAATGGTTTTGATTAGCCTCGCGTCACGGTTTTTATTCACTCTGAATTTTGAGAGCGGATGCCGAATTCACCAAATTCACCAAAGTAAAAGTGTTCACCAAAGTAAAACTTTAAATTCTGGCGCACCATCGATTTGGGGTGATGATGGGTGTAAGAAAATCGATTAACTTAATGGCTTGGGGCTTTTCTTTTCAATTATATTCTTTAAATTAAAGTTTCACGGCATTTTTATTAGCTTGGTGCTTTTATTTTGACGGAAAGGCGCATCCATCGAATTCCGGATCCTGTCTCACTCGCCCTGGTTCCGGTTCCTTACCAAAACGGCAACTAACGGCCCCAGACTAGCTTTGATTGATACTTTTTGTATTGTGGCCTTAAAGGTCCAGTGTGTAGGATTTCAGGGACTCTATCGGCAGAAATCACAACTTTTTTTTATTAGTTTATCCTCTTGAGACCTGAACTTTTGTTTGGTATGCATTTTTAATTTCTCCTAGCTATTTGGGATCAGTAGGACCTGCTAAGTATAAAAAACTAAACATTGTCAATGACAATAAAGTCCCACTGTCCTCAAATGAGTACTCCCTAATAGAGTGTGCCAGTAAACCCGGAACTCAGTTAGCGCTTTTAGCACTTCCAGTTCTCTCGTCTAAAAGTCAATACGTTTTTTGAATGGGATTTTGGTAATATTCCTTAAATATGGTCTGTGGTTAACAAAAGCTTAAGTGAGTTTCATGTTTTGTTCTACGACATAAAACACGTCAGTAAATACCCTACTTGTGAATTTTGAAGCTTTTACATGTCGTAAAAAAGGCGGTCGCTAACAAGTTGCTCAATACGACTACAAACCCTGTCGGGGACATTAAACGTCATCACCCCCGAACAGGCGAGAGTGCTGGCAGTCCGCCATTACAGCTTCTTATTTAGCTTAAACAGTCCGATTTCCCCATTATACAATGTTTTTAAAATAAAGCAGCCGAAATCAGTTGAAAGCTTAGTGGCGGTGACGTCAAGAGTCATGCGACCGTGGAGTAGTCATGTAGTCCGTTAAAGCCTAACGTTAGCTTTTTACTTCTGGCGATCGCATTTAAGCTTCAAATGCGGTATGAAAGGTGTTCATATGTGAAGATTATCTCGCTGAACAAAACCTGTAAGTATCATAAACTTGTGTTAGCCACAGAGCTTATTTTCTGACATAATCCAAAATGTAGTGCAAAAATCACATTCACTTTCTCTTCGGGAACCAGCGCGATGCTAAACTTCCGGATTTTGACGTCAGCCCTGGCACACTCTATTAACAGTGTCTTAGCTTGTTACTAAAATTGGTCAAATTTGTTGCCATATCAAACTACAAACACTATTAATCATAGATAAACAAGTTTCAACCACAAAATGTGATCAGGTTTTGGACCTTGTCCACTTTTGTGTCGGGGTCGGCTGCAGACTGATGGCGCGTTCCAGGCAACCTGTAGGGGGCGATCACACAGAAGTGAGACGGTAGAGACGCTTCAAAGACTCTTGAAACGCTGAAAGCACTTATTCAATGCGCGCTAGCTACTGGCATCTGACGCTCAAAAAGTTGAAAATATTTTAACTTTTCAGCGTCTACATGCGTCAAAAAAGAAGCGTCTACAAAAACTCCTGTCTAAAAAGAATGCCAGTCAGACGCGCCATATCATAGGAAAACTGGTTTTACTGGCGTCGCGTTTCTAGCGTTTCATCTCGGTGTGATCGCTCCCTAACTCGTGTTTTTACAACCTTCTACCCGTGAAAGTGCACTGGAACGGCAGTCAAACCCGTAACTTACCACCTGTGATCTCTTACCAGATCGATGTACTCCCAGTTATGCTTTCTGATTTCACACATCCCTCTAAACCAATGACCTTACTCCTCTAAACAACAACGGCAGCCCCATGGATGCAGTGTTGATGCAGGTGATACACGGTGAGAAATAGACATAAAATAACCCTAATGTTAACGCATTATTGGCAGCCGCTCTAACAGCTAGTTTCCAGTGCAAGAATAAATCAAAACAAAATACGTTTCCAAACACACAGATAACGTAAAATAAAAAGTATAAAAGCATCTGTGACCTTATGCGCAGTTTCTCCTCCTCCGTTTCACTCAAATGAGCAAAGAACAGGCACCTTTGGTGACAGAAGTGATCATAAACAAACATAAACCCCGCACGGTCCGCCATGTTGCTTTGACAGTTTGGCGTGACTTGCCTGGAACGCTATGAAGTCGTGATTCGTGACTTGAAGTGGTGACTTACGGGCTCAGAAACTTGCCTGGAACGCAGCATGACTTGGCAGAATTGGCTGCCGTCTTGTTTTGACATGGATTAGTGTAATGATCCTTCCACATGTTCACTGATGGAAACCTTGTTACAACTTTTACTTCCTCTAGATAGTCAAGTTTGATCGTTGTCTCTGCACTCCAGCAGGGCCACAAGATGGGACAAAAAAGCATTGGTGAACAAGGACAACAGGTCTAAGTAAAGTAGAATGAAATACAGTATGAGGTCAAGTAAACCCAAAATGTGATGTCCGCCTGAGACCCTGAAAATTAGAATCCTTGTGTTGTCATTAGTATGAGGCATTTATGTCTACATATGCAGCGGGTCCTCTCCCACGGAGTCTGCCTTTTTGTTTCTACAGTAGCTCAGAATGGACAAACCAAATACTGGCCATTCACCTTTGCGTGTTGGCCGACAGAGTTCTCCTACATGCTTGGCACACAGGAGAAGTTTCAGTTCTGCAATGCCGCCGCTAGATGCCACAAAATCCTACACACTGCCCCATGGATGGGTTACTGATCGGGCCTACTGCCACAGGCCCAGGTGCCCAAAGCATCAGGAGCCCCCCTGGCGTCCACCTGCAAAATGTCACTCAAATTAACACGTACCCATCAGGAGGAGGCTCAAAATGAAAACATGGAGACACAAAAAGTCTAAAAAAAGATGCAAAACAACCAAAAAGAGACACAAAACCACATAAAGATGGCTAACGATCACAAGGAGGTAAGAGGGCCCATTGTCTCATACTCCACCCCCGACTGGACCTTTAAATTGGAAATTGACTATTTGTTTTATGGCATGTTTCTGCTTTAAAGTGTTTCACCTGTCTAAAAATTCATGTTATCATAGCATAGTTAAAAGAAACAGACAAAGACCAGGCCAGCGTTACAGTGCATCTTCTTGCTTCTTGACTTCTGATTTTTTTAGGTATGGACCCATAAAGCTCAGCCACTTAAAAAATATTAACAAGCTATGATACAGTAATTGCAAGCTAGCTGACCATAATGTTCAGTTAATTTAGTGTCCATGGCTTCAGTATAACTTTGTTGAAAGAATGGTTTAGAATGGGTAGATGTGGCACTTGATCCCTGGAGTTTGGGTGCGAAAGGAGGAGACTTTGAGGTATCACTCACGTGGTTGTAAGAGGCTGTAAATCTTATGTTAATCTGCTTGTATGTGGGTGTGTGTGTGTGTGTATGTGTGTTAGAGAGAGCGTGAGAAGCCGAATCTGACCTCACTTCTCAGTACGACTTCCTCGGGTGTGATGAGTGAGTCAGGCGCATTTGAAAACAGCCAGCCACAAGCATTTAGCAATAAGCACCGAATATGAGAACCAAAGAAACCACCTGCACTCATTCCTTCATGATGCGCTGAATGTAAAGAATTAAAATGTCCGTGAGAACTAAACAGCAATGTGACATGATAACTCAACAACAAAAGCAGACAAATATTATTAGCTGCTACTACGAGTAGCCTATTGGTATTGTTGTTCATATTAATCTTGATGGTGTGATGTTGAGTGGCTCTTTTTCTTTCTCAGTGGCAACTCATGGACTCTTTAATCCACATAAGCTCATGATGCTCCTTTAAATCCATCCAATCTGTTGGGTGTCTGTACTTAACAGCCCCACTCAACCAATCTGGGTCAGTAGATGTTACAGTAAAGCACAGTTCCTGTCTGTGCAGAGCAAGAATTGGAACTTTTAAAAATCACATTGTTTAAACTGGAGACTTTTGTCCGATCCTGACTCAGCTGACATCCTCATTATGGAGGGTTGAGGTGGAATGAAACGTAACTGGACAATAGCTCGAAGAAGCAATAAGGTCTGAAGATTTCACTGAGAAAATGGAACTCCAAAACCAACTGCAGGGCGACTGGAGCCGATACTTTTGCAATCGGCCAGTGGAGTTTGATGAAAATGCAAACCATCATCTTCTCTCCAGTAAGCTGGAAAGCAGCTCTGTGAGGCTGGAGGGCAATTCAGATCCGTACCGCAGCATCTGGGGGGACGACGAGCAAGCAAGAGTCAAGAGCTGTAACAATCGGTCATTTGCCATGGACGCTAGAATAAGACTAGATCATTTGAAGTCAGCGTGTAATTCCCCCTTACCTCGCCGTGCCATGGATGGGATATTGTACAACTTTAACTGTCCAAAAGACAACTGGGACAGCGATGGGTCACAGGAAGAAGAGTCCGCTTTGGATTCAGTAGAGCTCCTTGATGTTGAGGATGATGTGCAGGATGAAGAGAGCTGGTAGGTGCCACCAGACCTTCAGTAATATTCTCTGAGATTGGGACTTGAGATGAGGAAAAGTATTTAAGTTATTCTGGTCTAACTTTAGTGAGGGTGGGACAACGTGAAATTAAAAAAAAAAAACCACAAACCCAGGTTTTATCCATCGTCCAAGTCACCAAACACACCTATGAGCACCTAGTGACTGAAGTGTCCCTCACAGGTTGTATGAGTCTCCAAGGAAGCAGGCGTTCGTAGAGAGAAGTGAGTCTGCTCTCAGATGGTGTCGACACGTCCTGGATAACCCCAGTCCTGAGATGGAGGCGGCGTGTCGTTCACTGATGAACAGGCTGGATCAAAGTGAGCAAGTAGCAGCACAGATTTACTCACTGTCCTGCAAATATGTTTGATCAGAAAAGATTCTTCTAAGGGTGATCAGTTTGTTCAGGGGTTTAACTAATGCCCTCTCTCTGTATTGTCAGGATCAAGCAGTCACTTCTACAGACGTCCTGCAGTTTTCCATCGTAGTGTGGGCTCCTCTATTAACACAACATCTGTCAGCAACACACACAATAATGTCTCTGATGGTTCAGGTAATACAATAAAGAGAGTTTTTGGATCCACCTAACTTCATGTAGGGATCCAGTTTTTAAGGGCAAATTAATGTCTGCTCACAGACAATCTTTATATACGTCCAAAAAAGTTTCTTTAATATCACATATTTTAGTAGCATGTGTTTTGTATTCATTAATCTGCACAGATGATGAGCTGAGCCTCCCCCATGACTCCATAACCCCAAGCTACAAACTGCAGGACATGACAGATGTCCACATTATGGCTCGCATACAGGAAGCCAGTGAGTACAGAAGAGTGTCTGTGATGATCTAGAGTACACTACATACTCGCTGACGGTTGGATTGCAATAACCTTGGTCCATATTTTGCAGGTTTGAGACAGGACTATGTTTCCACACCTGCTGGGAGAAGCCCCGAGTCACTGTTGATGTTTCCGTCTTATTTTAACACCACTTGTGAAAATATCAATGACTTCACTCCAGGAAATAAAACTACGCCTTCGTCTTCCTCCTGTTGGCAGTCCGGTCTGTCATCACTGAGCTCTTCTCCTCACCGTTCACCAACATCAGTAGCAAGGCAGGGCTGCCAAAGTCCAACTCTGGCTAGACTTCACCAGCAGGTCGCCCAGCTCAAGCTGCTGAAACAGGCTCAGAATCAAGGTACACAGAGCACACACAGGTTTTCTTCTTTATCTGTATTGCTGGTCTGATAGCTACAGACATTTTCTATTCTATTTTCATTACTACTCCTGTATTATCGAAGGCCTCATTAGATTAAAACAGGTGCTAAGATGTATTATATTATTGTATGGTTGTGTGAAGAAGAGCGAACTTTCTATTCTTTAGTAGAAACAGAAATACTGAATCAAAGTGTATTTTTTTTGCAGAACATTATGATTTCTCAGTGAAGTTGACCTTTGACCTTTTGGATATAAAATGTCAGCATATGAATTACATATGAATAGCATATTCATTTTTAAGTTACAGCCAAAAACATGTTTTGTGAGGTTATGGTGACCTTGACCTTTGACCTTCCACCACCAAATTCTACTTGAGTCCATTCTTGGGTCCAAGTGGACATTTGTGCCAAATTTTAGAAAATTCCCTCAAGGACTTGAGACAGACGCAAGGTCACAGTTACCTTGACCTTTGACCACCAAATTCCAATCAGTCCATCTTAAAGTCTAACTGAATGTTTGTGCCAAATTTGAAGAAATTCCCTGGGGTTCTTGAGATATCGTATTCACAAGGATGAGATGGATGCAAGGTCACAGTGACCCTGACCTTTGATCTATGACCACCAAACTCTAATTAGTTCATCGTTGAGTCCAAGTGAACTTTTATGCCAAATATGAAGAAGAAATTCCCTCAAAGTGTTCTTGAGATATCACGTTCACAAGAATGAGATGGATGCAAGGTCACAGTGACCTTGACCTATCGCTGGCGCAGAGGCAATAAAATGCCCTTTCCTGAAAATGGTATGAAAAAACTACAGATGGCTGGACCTGCGTATAAACCAGGATGCAAGAAAATAAAGGAGAAGATAAAGAGAGAGCTGGAGACGTCTTTAAACCGATATCAGAGCATGTGAGCGGAGCGGATGAACATTTCCGCTCCTCGCTCGCAGACCTGTCACTTTGCGCCGCTTGTCCGCTCCGCTTGGTTCTGCGCATTCTTCGCTCCACTCCATCATAAATTTTATCCCGCTCCACTCGCTCACCACTCTGCTCAAAAAAACTGCGTCGTACTACCCTAACCTGTAATCTTCTATTCACAAATAAAATATGAGCTTGGTAGATTCTCCGGGGAAGCCCTCTCCCCTCTCGCCGCAGTTAGGGACCGTTCTCCATGGTACCGCTGTCGGCAGGGTGGAAATAAGTCAAAGTGTGGAGGAGACGGACTGGGTTAAGCGGCCGACCTCCGGGGAAGCCCTCTCGTCCCTCCCCGTAGTTAGGGACCGTTCTCCAAGGTACCCCTGCTTCTCTTCTCAGTTTCTTTTCTGAAGTACACAGTCAACTCCATAGCTTTGAAAGAAAATAGTGTGCGCAGGTGCAAAGATGCATTCTGGGTGGGGCATGAGCGACCGGAGCGAAATTGGAGCGAGAGATAAGGCTCCGCTCTACCTTTTAAAAAAAAATAGCCGCTCCTCGCTCAACACAAAATCCTCCCGCTCCCCTAGCGTCACCGAAGGTCACCAGGCTCACCACTACCTGTGAGAAAGAGGGTGATAGTGTCGCTCTAACTATTCACGGGACCTTTTCAGGGGCCCAGCCAGTTCTATGGCTGGCCCCAGATATGATGACCCTGATGTGTTTTGCGGCAGCATCACCAGGCAGGACCAGGTCACCTCTGCGGACCAGCCTCCGCTCCCTCCAGGCTGTGAGGAACAGCAGAAGTTTAGACATTGACGACGATGATAACAACTACCAGTCTGCTGAACAAATCCCTGCTTACCCACCATCAGGTTTGGATCTGTTTCCTCATACTGCAATTCAGTTTAAAACTTTTTTTTACCTTATATGTCTAATCAGTCTAAACTGATCCTAATTGTTTTCTCAGGTGCATCATCTAGGTCAAGTTGCTGGTCTCCGTCACTCTCCGCAGCACACATGAACTCCAACAGCTCGTTGCACTCAGTGAGAAACTCCTCAGACCGGATGGCGGCTGTGAAGAGACTGCTGAGGTCTCAGTCTCTCAGCCCCTGCAGGATCCCTCACCCTGCTAAGGGATACTTGTCTCTTCATGGACGTGTTTTTGCCTCACCTGAAAGGTCGACCACAGTGGCTTGGGGCAGAAATGTGTCATCCACACAAAGATAGAAATATTATGTCAACCTAGAATCAAAACATTAGAACATTACTATCTCTTATCATGTATTAATGTGCTTGTATGGGCTGCTTGCATAATCATAACAGTAGGAATTAATGTTCTACTGCTGTACTGTGTCTGCCTGAAGTTTCCATCAGATGGGATCTAAATCATGTTCGTCTGAAACACAAGAAGTAGCTGGCAATACTGGGAGCAACACCTGACACAAGTGTCTTGGAGGGCTGGATTTTTTATTACCTGTGAGGTGAAGCCAGGCAGTGTTGTGTTCTTTAAAAGATAACCCACTGTAAATAATGTGAACTAGTGTTTTAAATATTGAAGTCAAAAGAATGTAGAAATGTCAGGGGGATCTCTGCCTGCTGTGCAGATATATCCACCCATCTGAGATGGTGTTGAAAAAATGAAAGCAAAAAATACTGCTCTGTGCTGTAGTCAGTAATCAGTGTTGTAACTAATTCTTTACATGCAACATATTGTGCTTGGATAGACGTATTGGCATGGTGTGTGGAATTCAAAGTTTATCAGTGTGGGCCATGAAGTTCGTGACGTACATTTCAGTGCTGGTTTGAATGTGGAAGTGAAGTGCGGCTGAATGAGTAGGCTGTTTTCTGCAGAATTGTTGCAACAGGAAGTGTGCAGCTTACAATCAAGTAAGAACAACTAAACAGGTGACCTGTGCACAATATGAAATGTGTGTGTTACCAGGAAATAGACTGAGGTGTGGTGTTGGTGCAGTTTCTTCCTGAAACGTATTGTCATTCACTACTTTGATTGTTCAACTGTTTCTCACACCCTGAGGTGATTATTTAAGCTTTTACACGTTTCTATGTAACGCAGCTCTAGTAGACGTTATGACTTCTCTCAGGGAAGGTACATTTCTTTAACTGTGTTCCAGCATGTCACCTGACATGTTAACACTGCTGTAGCTTTGAGTCACAGCAAATCCATCAAAAGTCTGTTTTGTTCGTCTCTCTTTGATCTCCTGTTTGCTCTTTGCTGCTGAATGAGATCCATTAAATGCTCTACATGCAGCACAAATGAAATGATTTAAAAAAAAATAAAGTGACCGTACAGATGTTTATCAATGTGTAGCAATCAGAGTGAGATATACCAGTTCAGATGATACATGTGACAAAAACATTCTTTAACAAAAAAATACTAAAATGTAATGAGTTCAGATGCATTTATATATTTGTGGCCGTCCAGTTTGGTGTTAGAGTACTCTCTACTGTCAGTAAGGTTTTTGATCATGTTTTATATGTAGTTTTAATTATGAATTTATCAAGTTACGGCAGCTGTCTGGTCTGTGGTCTGATTGAACTCTAGACAAAATGTTCTGCATAAAACATACCACTATTTATAACTGAGGAAAGTGCTATAGAAAATAAATATCTACAAAACTGTCTTTCTCTATGCTGAATACTGCTGATTTTGTCTTACACTTAGAAAACTGTTTGCTATATATGAAAGGGATGAAATACTTTTCTTAGCAGGGGTGTAGGTTTTTCTTCAATTCTGGGGGGACACATGAAACAGGAGGTTTAGGGGTCTTCCGCCAGAAAAGTTTGAGCGTCAAACACTTAATTTCCTGCATACTGGTCAATTTGAAAATTTTCTGCATCAGTTCATGGTGTAAATGTCTTTAATTTTGTCAAAATAAAAGTCCTCTGCTACTTTTATGTCTTTATTAAGGGAGACAAATCCACATGTTCTAAGTATTGAGGGGGCAACCCCCCCTGCATACCCCCCAAAATCTATGTCTGCACTTGTGTACGTAATAATATTATTGATGGTTCCAATTTTATTTCTGTGTCCTAGTGAGAAAATGAACTGGCAACTATTGTAATTGTAACTCATTGTAAATGATGAACTGTCTGTAAATTTCAAACTAATTATTTAGAAATCAGTAGTCAAAATAATCACTGGTTCAAGCTCAATGCTAGGTCTGTGGAATAAGCTCACCTAAATGACAAGCACAGGTGTAAGTAATGGTGTAATTTACATTATTACTGTACACGTGCTTCTCCTATGTTGACATGTCAGAATGTCTGCCATCATTTTCAACCACTAACCGTTCAATAAAATCCTAATATCCAACCCAGTTTCTTGTCTTTCAGTGACTGTCCTCTTCCTGCATCTTGTCATATCTCAGAGGTGCTTTATTCTGTCATTCAGATTTTTCAGGACTTCATCAATCAGTTTGCTCCTAACGACTTCAGATTATTGTTCTCTATCTCTGTTTTTATTAGTGTTTATAAAAAGTGCCAATGTACTGGGGCACAGGGGATCACAATGGGTCCTGGGTCTTAATTTGCAGTATCAGGTCAAGTCAGTCATTTTGAAGAGGACAGACAGATGCAGCAGATGCAGATTTCCTCGTCTCCTCTTTCGACAACACTAAATACTGCTCCTCTGAGTTAAGATGATGCTCAAAGTCAGAAATACATTACATCATTTCATAATAAAAGGTTTTAAGACTATCAAATTCAAGGAAGCAGTTCAACAAAAACTCCACCTGCAGCTGTGGACATCAACGCTCGTCTGGAAAAAGGTGTTGCTCCTGAAACGCAGACAGAATGTACCCGTCACATGCCAGTTTGCCCTGGGCATAGCATGAGCATGATCATGTGCTTTAATTGCCTGTAGCGTGTAATGTTCATAGTTCTAGTTTGATTACATTTATTCAGCCTTTATTTTGACAGTGGGTCATACTGAGACCAAGGTCTCTGTCTGCTGAAACACAAATGAGTTTGAATGACTGTGGGTTTGTTTCAGTTATTTTATACTGGGGTCAAAATGACCTCCGTTGGTTTCACTATACAACACCTTTACTCAGTTTTACTGAAAATTAAATTAAACCAGAATCAAAGGATGGTAAAGTAGCTTTTGAGCACTGTGGATTTAAATATATTTACATGTATTTTCATTTGACTAGTTTGTTTATTACAGTAGTTTCTTCTTCTCCCAGTCACATCTTAAATATGTTGGTTTAATGAAGGTTAAAAATATCAGCATGAAAACCAAACTGCACTAACCTGATCCACTTCTACCTGAATCACTCAAGACAAGAGAAAATTTGTACAGACCAGTTACACCACTTGCATTAACTATGCTCACTGAGGTTTAGGTGACTGGGGTGTTAAAGCTCCATCAGAACACTAAACACAGACTTTGTTCCTGTAATGAATGTCTGGTGTAAATTTCAACAGAGGAAGAGGAACATGTTTCATGATGTCATACTGTAGCACAGTGTCTGTTAGTGATGTATGATTTTTTAAAGAAAGAGCTGCATGTTAACTTCAGTATGTTTATTCTCTTTTTTCAATCAGGAAGTGGGACAGACAAAGTTGCTCAACTATTCGTGAGCACTAGTATGAATGAGTTAAAACAGTGCAAAACAACTGTACATACGTCCATGTCAAGATACACACGATTCATGACATTTATTCAACATATAAAAGGCAAACTCAAATTTACAGTGTGCTGTGTGTCCCTGTAGTGTAGGTACAATAGCAGAGCAGGAAGCTATAAACATTAAAGATCATTTACAAAATAAAGTATGTACAAACATTTTCTCAATTTTAAAACTGTAATTATGCGCCATGTTGTCTTAATACTAAAAACCATAAGAAAATGTCACTAGTTGTCAGAGTCCATGTCGCTGTCTCCTCCTATAGATCTGAATTCTTCGCTCTCCTCGTCTTCACTGAGCTGGACCTGGGAGAGCACAGCTGGGCCTCTTCTCCGTGCTTCATCTTCTTCATCTTCCTCCTCCTCTTCGCTGATGCCATAGTCTTCTCCGTTTCTCATGCTGGAGGCCTGCATCTGACTCCTGCTCTCTGTCTCCTCGTAGCTGCCATAGCTGGAAGGAAGGAAGGAAGGAAGGAAGGAAGGAAGGAAGGAAGGAAGGAAGGGGAGGTTACTACACTGTACATGTAAAAGGCCAACTGAGGACAAGTAGAGATGTGCAGCACCTAAGTTTCATGCTCTGTGTTGGAACTCTGTTGAACTGCATCGTCCCTCTCCTTGAGATCTTTGAGAACACAAACTTTTGGAACCATTTATGACTGGCATTTTTAAGCAGTAGCTGTTGAATATATTTACATTCAGTAATTACTTCTTTGTACAGTAGTTTTATTGTTAGTGGCGAAGTTCGCCATCCTCATGCTGGACTCAAATCACCTTATTTACCACATGTGAGATTCATAAGAAACATTGACTGCAATCCAGCCTTACTGTTTGTCATTAGATCTCATTAACTTCAGCTTCACCATTTGCAGTTCACACTCTTAAAGGGATAGTGCGCCCAAAAATGAAAATTCAGCCATTATCTACTCACCCATATGCTGAGGGAGGCTCAGGTGAAGTTTTAGAGTCCTCACATCACTTGCAGAGATCCAAGGGGAGAGGAGGTAGCAGCACAACTCCACCTAATGGAGGCTGACGGCGCCCCAGATTCAAACGTCCAAAAACACATCATTGAAACCACAAAATATCTCCATACTGCTCGTCCGTAGTGATCCAAGTGTCCTGAAGCCCCGACATAAAAAGCTGTTTGGAAAAACCTCATTTGAACTCTGTTTTTAGCCTCATTGTAGCCTGCAGCTCTGACTGCCTCTCTGTGTACACCAAGCTCATGTGTGTGCGGTGCACAGAGAGGCAGTGACAGTTATGTCGGGGCTTCAGGACACTTGGATCACTATTATGTGTTTTTGGACGTTTGAATCTGGGGCGCCGTCAGCCTCCATTAGGTGGAGTTGTGTTGCTACCTCCTCTCCCCTTGGATCTCTGCAAGTGTTGTGAGGACTCTAAAACTTCACCTGAGCCTCCCTCGGCATATGGGTGAGTAGATAATGGCTGAATTTTCATATTTGGTTGCACTATCCCTTTAAAGCCTTATTATGGCTGTATCAAATTACTGCTGATAGAAACAGAACATTTCCTCTTGCTGCTGCGTCACAATAAAATCATTTAACTAGTGTAAAAAGGGGGTTTATTGTGAGTCCGTCACAGGAAATGCAATGTGTTTGTCAAAGTAGCTACTTAAGGAATGTATGATGTAGTATTAAACTGCATTTTCTGACAGCACCAGGACTGAAAAATGTTACAAATTCCAATTTGATGTGTACATCAGTGCAAGCGTGTTTTCAGTAGATAAAAAGAAATCTAAAGGCTTACTTTCCCTGAAGAACAAATATCTATATTCACTTCAGCAAGGTACTTATAAACTGTTCACATTTCAGAGATTTAAGTTACTGCCTTCTTGAGCACTGCTGCAGAGTGTTACTGGCTCCTGGTAGCCTGATTCCAGACCATAGACCCCGCCCACTCAACTGAGTAGGCTTGCATTACTGGTCTGGCATACTTCAATGAATTTGCGATTTATCTCGTCCAAACGATGGACGGACTAATGAACGCCGGGGGTCTAGCGATTAGCCAATTAGCGCCACGCTGATGTCAAGCTGTACTCCGGTGGGTAACTGGTGAGGATAGCAACAATGGTGACCGCTACAGATCCTACAGACCACATTAATGATGCTATCGAGGTATTTCGCCAGTACTCGTGTTAATGGAGGACCAAATTAAGGAAGCTGTTAAACTGGATTTAACAGCGATGCAGCTGGGCGTGTACGACGACGGAGACATTTTAAACGGGCACTGCTCGCTTGTTGTCGGCCACCCCCGAGGCATGGATACTAATGACGTCAGATTCTGGGTGAGTCACTGATCTCTACTGATTGGTTAGGGAAAAATCAAATTCCCTCCCCCTTGTAAATCGCCTTCAATGGAAGCCATGTCAGACTGAAGGTTCTGGGAGCTTCAGTCTGACACTCAGGCTAGGCTCCTGGGCCAGTTGTACCTGACATTGCTGTCTTCCATGTGTGGCTCATCAGGCCCGTCCCCTTCATATGACATCATGCTCTCGTCTTGCTCCATGCCCATGCGAGCTGTGTCTTGAGCTCTCCGTGGAGGGGCGGGACGCACATCCACTTCTCTGTCAGAGTCGCTACCACTCTCTGACAGCTGTATGGCTGGAGGGGACACACACACAACGAATCGGGATGTCACACAAAACACACAAGGCTGCAGATAATATTCAGAGAGGACTGATTATTGTTTGATCACTGCTGAGTCTCCTGTCTTCTCACACTGACAGAGCATTAAATATGTACATTTTATAATGTTAAGTGAATATTTGCAGCACAACACTGCTTTCATCTTTTATCCTACAGACATGCTTATTTTTGTTCTATTCATTAGTATATCTGTGACCACTCTCCGCAG